CCTGCGTCGGCTTCGGCCTCCCTCACCTTCACACTTGACTCAGGGGCTTCTCGCTCCTTCTTTCGAGACCGCACCACACTCACGCCGCTTGGTCGGCCGGTTGCAGTCTCCCTGGCTGACCCCTCTGGGGGACCTGTCCTCTCTCACTTCTCCACTGTCCTCCCGTGTCCGGCTGCCCCCTCGGGCACCCTGTCTGGTCTGTACCTCCCCTCGTTCTCGACGAACTTGGTGAGTGGTGCTGACCTGCAGGATGGGGGGGTCCACCAGTTTACTCCTCCGACTCAGCGGGTGACCCACTGCTTGGACGCCCGCACAGGCCGACACCTGGCCACGTTTTCGCGTCGGCTGGGGTCGAGTCTCTACACCCTGACCACTGAGTCTCCTCTGTCCCTGCGTCTGGCCAGGTAGCTGCGTTGGGTCAGGTGTTTGCTGCTGCGTCCAGGTCTGGTCCTGGGTCTGCCCCCTGCTCGTGTCGCCTCCTGTCTCACGAGACTCTCCTGTGGCACCACCGTCTTGGCCACCCCTCCTTGCCTCCTCTTCAAGGCATGGCTTCCCGTGTCCTTGTCTCTGGTCTCCCCCGGTCTCTCCCTCCCCTTCCTTCGGGGCCAGGACCTTCCTGTGTCCCCTGTGTCGAGGGGCGGCTCCGGGCTGCCCCTCACTCCTCCCAGTTTCCCCCGACAGAGGCTCCTCTGCAGACGCTTCACATGGACGTGTGGGGCCCGGCCCGCGTCTGTGGACAGGGTCACGAGCGCTACTTCCTGCTGGTGGTTGATGACTACTCGCGTTACACCACAGTCTTCCCCTTGCGCAGCAAGGGTGATGTCACTGAGGTGTTGATCGACTGGATCCGCGCAGCTCGTCTCTAGCTGAGGAGGAGCTTCGACTCGGACTTTCTTGTCCTGCGTCTGCACTCTGACGGAGGTGGAGAGTTCTCCTCTGGCCTTCTGCGAGCCTACTGTTGTGCACGAGGCATCCGCCAGACCTTTACGCTTCCGGACTCTCCACAGCAAAATGGGATTGCTGAGCGCCGCATTGGCATGGTTATGGACGTCGCTCGTACGTCCATGATGCATGCGGCTACCCCCCATTTTCTGTGGCCGTTTGCGGTTCGGTACACGGCGCATCAGATCAACCTTCACCCCAGGGTCTCTCGGCCGGAGACCTCCCCAGCTCTGCTGTGGACGGGGAAGGTCGGCGATGCGTCTGCATTCCGTGTCTGGGGATCTCGGGCGTTTGTCAGCGACTTGTCTGCGGACAAGCTGTCCCCTCGTGCTGCTCCCTGTGTCTTCCTAGGCTTCCCCCCTGACGCCCCAGGGTGGCAGTTCTACCACCCCTCCTCTCGTCGTGTTCTGTCCTCCCAGGACGTCACGTTCGACGAGTCAGTCCCCTTCTACCGCCTCTTCCCCTACCGCCCTCCTTCCCTCCCCCCGCCACCGCACTTCCTTGTGCAAGGTCCCCCCCAGGTAGACCCCCTTCCCCCCTAGGGTCCTGCCCCTTCAGGTGTGTCCCAGGTAGACGCAGTCAAGCCGGTCGAGGTTGCTGGTGACTCTGGTACTGCTGCGGATGCTGAGCCTGGGGGTGCTGACTCTGGGGGTGCTGCACGCGTGGGCGCTGAGCCTGGGGGTGCTGAGCCTGGGGGTACTGCGACTGGGGGTGCAGAGCCCGGGGGTGCTGAGCCTAGGAGTGCTGAGTCCGGGGGTGCTGAGCCTGGGGGTGCTGCGACTGGGGGTGCTGAGCCTGGGGGTGCTACGTCAGGAGCTGCTCAGCCAGGGGGTGCTGCTGAGCCAAGAGTTGCGGAGCCTGCGGCCACTGGACCTCCCCTTCTGGCGTCTGGCGGTGCGGGGCCTGGAGGCTCTCCGGTTGCTTTGTCTCGGCGGGAGCCACTCTCTCCACAGGAGCTGCGCGAGTGGTTTGCTCGCCGCTGGAGGCGTACTACTGGAGCTGGAGCTTCTTCGGCCGCTGAGGGTACTTGTGCCGCCGGTCCTAGGGCTCCTTGGCCTTCGGGTCCGCCTGGCGCTGGAGTTAGTGAGGGTGTTGGTGCTGAGACTGCGGCTGTCCTTCCTGGCGGTGGTCCTGCTTCGGGTGCTGCTGGTGCTGCTGGAGGTCCTGCAGCTGGAGGTGCTGTTGGCGCTGGTGCTATTGGTGCTGGTGCTGTCCCTGCTGTGTCTGAAGTTGCCGCGCGGCCTCGGCCGTACTTCGTTCCGCTCCTGCAGCAGGTTCTTGGTCTTTCTCCTCCTGTAGAGTGTCCACCGCCTGTCCAGTCACAGTCACAGTTAGAGCCCGCCTCCCCACTTCCTGCTCCCTCTCCTTACACTGGTCCTACTGGAGGTCTTGCTGAGCGTCGTGAGCCTGCGTCTCGTCCCGCGTCGCCTGTTCGTGCTGCTCGCGCTAGTGGTCGCGGTTCGCGTCAGCGTCCTCCTCCTGTCCCTGGCACCCACCGGATGTCTCTGCGTCCGTCCACTGCTCCTCTGCGTGCCCCTTTGCCTTCTCCTCCAGAGTCCTCTCTTCCTGCACTTGCCGACCCAGAGTCTGACTCTCTTCGTACTGCCAGTCCTACTGTCACGCGTCTCCTTGCTACTGTCGTCACTGACCCCTCTTTTGAGTCCACTGCTGCGTCTGCGCTTGTTGCTGAGCTCGTTGACTTTGCTGCTCGCTGTCGTCTAAACTACGCTGCCAGTCTTGTTGCTGAGTCTGCGTCTGTCTGTCCTCCGTCCGTCGGGGGTGAGTGTGCTCTTGGCACGGACGTCCTTGAGGACAGGCAGGAGGAGTTCCAGTGTCTGGCTGCTGCTTCACCTCATCTCGCGTCCGTACTACTTGCCCCTGAGGGAGACCCGGATGCACTAGACATCCCGACTCCGCGCTCTTACGCGGAGGCCGTAGAGGGTCCCTACTCCTCTCAGTGGCAGGCAGCTATGGATGCAGAGATGGCTTCCTGGAAGTCCACAGGCACCTACGTTGACGCGGTTCCCCCTCCTGGGGCGAACATCGTCAGTGGCATGTGGATCTTCAGGGTGAAGCAGCCGCCGGGCTCTCCACCTGTTTTCAAGGCGCGGTACGTGGCTCGTGGCTTGAGTCAGCGACAGGGAGTTGACTACTTTCAGACCTTCTCTCCCACCCCAAAGATGACCACTCTTCGGGTACTACTGCACATAGCCGCTCAGCGCGACTACGAGCTCCACTCTCTTGACTTCAGCACTGCTTTCTTGCAGGGTAGCCTGCACGAGGAGATCTGGCTGCGCCGTCCACCTGGCTTCACTGGGATTTTCCCTCCTGGCACCCAGTGGAGCCTCCGACGACCAGTCTACGGTCTCCGCCAGGCACCGCGTGAGTGGCACGACACACTGAGGACTACGCTTGCGGCTCTTGGGTTTGCTCCCTCTACTGCTGACCCGTCGTTGTTTCTGCGCACCGACACCTCTTTGCCGCCGTTCTACATCCTCGTGTACGTCGACGACTTGGTCTTTGCCACAGCTGACACTGCTGGACTCGCCCACGTGAAGTCCGAGCTGCAGAAGAGACACACGTGTACAGACGTGGGTGAACTGCGCAACTATCTTGGCTTGCAGATCACCGGGGACAGAGCACGCCGCACCATTACCCTGACTCAGTCACACATGGTGCAGCAGGTCCTTCAGCGCTTCGGCTTCACGTACTCCTCGCCTCAGGCCACTCCTCTGTCTACTCGCCACTCGCTCTCAGCTCTGCCTTCGGATGAGTCCGTAGAGTCGAGTGGCCCGTATCCAGAGCTTGTTGGCTGCCTCATGTACCTGATGACCTGCACACGACCTGTCCTTGCATACCCTCTTAGCATTCTTGCACGCTATGTTGCTCCTGGGAGACACCGACCAGAGCACATGGCTGCAGCGAAGAGGGTGCTGCGCTACTTGTGCAGTACGTCGGGCATGGGGCTAGTGCTTGGAGGGCGGAGTCCAGTGGTCCTCTCTGGGCACGCGGACGCTTCTTGGGCTGACGACCAGGCTACGCAGCGGCCGTCACAGGGTTACACCTTCAGTCTTGGTTCCGGCTCTGTTTCGTGGCGGGCTACTCGCTCGTCTTCTGTTCTCGGCTCCAGTTGTGAGGCTAAGATCTACGCCGGGGCCATGGCTGCTCAGGAGCTTCGCTGGCTCACCTACCTGCTGATTGACCTTGGAGAGCCGCCTCGTTCTCCTCCAGTGCTGTACGTAGACAACAAGGCCATGCTGGCCTTGTGTCGAGAGCAGCGCCTGGAGCACAGAACAAAGCACATTGCTCTCCGCTACTTTCTTGCTCGTGAGCTGCAGCAGCGTGGTCAGTTGCAACTTGCGTACGTGGCCTCTGAGGCCAACACTGCTGATGTTTTCACCAAGGCACTTGCGCCTTGTGATCATCAGCGCTTCTGCACTCAGTTGGGACTTGTACCTGTCTTACCTCACTTGCTCACCTCTTGATCTTACTTGTACTCTTGCATATATATATACCTGCTCTTGCTTGTTTAGTGTTATATATATATGTGCACCCGTGCATGTGAACTGGCCTTGTGGCCTTGACCTTGTGCTCGGACTGTGTGGCGACTTTGTGATCCACCCTGAGCTTGCTTTGTTTTGCTTTGCTTGACTGGTCTTGTGACCCCTTGTTCTCCCCCACTTTGCCTATGGGGGTGTGTCAGATATATATGACATAGCTATTGTAGGCTATAGTGGGGTAGCACATATGTGGTAGAGTTTTCTAGGGTTTGTATTTGTACCCAACTTTCACTTAGTCATTTCATTCTCGTTCAACTTCTCTCACTAGTCGCAACTCCCGTGCTTTTATTTCCATCTCAGGTGCGATCTATGAGAGTGGGATGAGCATGATGGAAACCAATCCCTTTCTCATTGCCCTTATTTGGAGAGAACATTGAATGCGATGTAGGAGTGTGTGTGAACAACCTAAGTCAAGTCAGATTCAAAATCCATCTTGAGTTGCACTCTACCAACCATTTGTAACCAGGTCACTCCTAACAATTGCTTCCCTGGAAATTGATGGGGCACCAACCAACCTTTGTTTGTCAAAAATGTTTGAGGGACGGCTCTCAGGCCACACGGGGACCCTCGGTCCCCTTCCCCCCCTGGGGGACGGTTCTCAGGCCACACGGGGACCCTCGGTCCCCTTCCCTCCCTGGGGGACGGCTCTCAGGCCACACGGGGACCCTCGGTCCCCTTCCCCCCCTGGGGGACGGCTCTCAGGCCACACGGGGACCCTCGGTCCCCTTCCCCCCCTGGGGGACGGCTCTCAGGCCACTCGGGGACCCTCGGTCCCCTTCCCCCCCTGGGGGACGGCTCTCAGGCCACACGGGGACCCTCGGTCCCCTTCCCCCCCTGGGGGACGGCTCTCAGGCCACGCGGGGACCCTCGGTCCCCTTCCCCCCCTGGGGGGCGGCTCTCAGGCCACACGGGGACCCTCGGTCCCCTTCCCCCCCTGGGGGACGGCTCTCAGGCCACACGGGGACCCTCGGTCCCCTTCCCCCCCTGGGGGACGGCTCTCAGGCCACACGGGGACCCTCGGTCCCCTTCCCTCCCTGGGGGACGGCTCTCAGGCCACACGGGGACCCTCGGTCCCCTTCCCCCCCTGGGGGACGGCTCTCAGGCCACACGGGGACCCTCGGTCCCCTTCCCCCCCTGGGGGACGGCTCTCAGGCCACTCGGGGACCCTCGGTCCCCTTCCCCCCCTGGGGGACGGCTCTCAGGCCACACGGGGACCCTAGGTCCCCTTCCCCCCCTGGGGGACGGCTCTCAGGCCACACGGGGACCCTCGGTCCCCTTCCCCCCCTGGGGGACGGCTCTCAGGCCACACGGGGACCCTCGGTCCCCTTCCCCCCCTGGGGAACGGCTCTCAGGCCACACGGGGACCCTCGGTCCCCTTCCCCCCCTGGGGGACGGCTTTCAGGCCACACGGGGAGACCCTCGGTCCGCTCTTTTTGTTGGGAGACGTCCTTGGGTGTGCGTGCAGTTTGATCCTGTAGTCCATGTAATTTCCCCGCGCGACTAGTAGAGCCTTTTGTAAAAGTCTTTCCACCACTGTAGTGTTGGGCCTGATTTTCTGCCACCAAGGGAATAAGAGGAGCTTAAAACAAAACGCCCAGACAACAATAAAACTGAAAGAAAATGACTTGCAGCACTTAGGCAACAAATGACGCCCAGTCAAACGCCTAAGGCGCTGCAGTGGCAATTTCGTCACTGCCGCGCCAGCGGCCATTTCGTCCATGGCGCGCTAGTGGCGATTTCGCCACTGGCGCACGTGGCAATTTCGCCACATGCGCTCGTGTAGCGATTTCGCCCCTGGCGCGAGCCACTTGCGCCAGTGGCGATTTCGTCCCAGTCGCCTGCCACTGGCGCCAGTGGCGATTTCGTCCCTAGCGCGAGCCACTGGCACCAGTGGCAATTTCGTCACTAGTGCGTGCCACTGGCGATTTCGTCTTTGGCGCGCCTGTTGGCGTTTCGTCCGGCGCACTTCGCTCTCAGTTGAGCGCCCGCTAAGTACAGTCGCACGCTTGATAGTGTTGCCCTTCATGAAAATCGATCGCTTGTAGGTGAGTCGTAGTAAGTAGTTCTAGTGACAGGAAACTTTTGAGGTGGTTGGACGACAATGAGTGGAACTGCAAAGTTCCGAAATGAAGTCGTGGGTGGAGGCCGAATGGCCTCCAACCCTCGTTATGGACTCGGCGAATTGTAATTCGCCGTTGCTTTGCTTCGTGACAGTCAGCTGCGCTTTCAAAATACGCATTTTTAGAAAGTGTTACACACTTTCGAAAAAAATCATTTCAAGTTACACCGATCCATCAGTGTTTCCGAAAAGGGCACACTGCTCAGAATGGTTTTGAAAATGTCTACACTGCTAATCGTGAGTAGGCAATCCAAACCTAAGCCCTGACCCCAACCCACAATAGTCAATCGTCATTTCGGTTTCTGACAGCCGATAGCACCCACCCCGCACAAGCTAACCAGGGGGTGTACAATTTCGGGGGGTGTTTTGTCCAGGAGAATACGGTCTATTTGAAAGCTTCCTCACACCCTGCGCATCCCATGCCATATCACCACCATAATACTGTTTCTCAGCTGCCCTGCATGGCCCGTGCACAGCTGCACCGCACCTATGCGTCTTCCCTTGCATTGCAACATCAACATGTCAGTGCTCGCTATGCCTCAAGGACGTAACAGTCGATGGCCTGTTCATCATCTGCTGCAACGCCCTCACTCACTCTCACCACCTCCTCCACCCTCACCTCCACCTGCTGCACCTTCCCCTTCCCACTCCCCCCCGAACGCCATGGCTTCTCTCCCCACCACCCCCCATTCCACCCATCACCACCCCCCCTCGCACCCTCACTCGCTTGCCCTGCCAAGGGTGTGCTCCCCTCGCCCCCACGCTGTACCCTCCTCCATTCCTCAGCGCCAAGGCTCGCAGGACTCACAAGCACATCCCTTGCCTCTGACCCCATTTCCCGCACTGCCTCCCCCACACCCTCTGCTGCCGTGTCCCTCCCTTGCTGCCATGCGTGCGCACCAGCTGCCATGGCATGGGAAATCTGCCCCGCCACATGCCCCGCTGCAGGGGCCACTGCGGACGGCACGCCCACCGCCTCTGCTGCTGCCACCGCCTCTGCTACCTCCCTCATCGCCCTCTCTGCTGCTGCTTCCCTCTCCGCCACTGCTCTCTCGTCTTCCTGCCTCCTGTCACCCTCATTGACAACACCAAAAGTGGCAGCAGCAGTGGCAGCACGTGCTTGTGCCTCAGCCTCAACGGCACCTCCTGCTTCCGTGCGGTGCGCACCCATCACTCCAGCTGCCACAGACACTCCCAGAGCACCCGAAGCAGCTGCAGCAGGGGGGGGCGAACCAGCATTCAGCGCATCTGGACTAATGGCCGACCCAGGGCGAGTTGGAGTGGCAGGAAGGGAACCAGTGGGCGGCACAGCAGCAGGAGCGGTGGCAGAGGGAGAGGGGTAGTGCAGGTGGAGAGTGACGGCGGTGATGGATGAGTTCTGGTGCACGAGGAAGAGGCGCCGCCCCACGAACGCCATGCAGCACACCCAGCAGGGGAAGCGCGTGTCCGTGAATATGCGCCCCTCGCCCTCCACCAGGTCCCAGTCGCCGCGCCCCGGGTTCCACACCTGGTTGCATGGGAGCGCATGCGTGGAGGAGAGGTGATGGATGCAGTCAAGGCAGCTAAGGCAGTTTGGGCAACAGGAAGTGAAGAGGAAGGAGAGAGTAGGTCAAGGTGAAATGCACGGGTTACTGCAAGAAAGCAAGAAGAGTGGGAACGGAGCGCTTGTGTGACACAAGATGTACCATGGAAAAAGAAAGAAAAAAAACAAAACAAAACAAAACCAAAAAACACAAAGAGGCTCAGACGCAGAACAGTGTACAGAAATCACCATTCCCGATTCTTAACCACAAAAAAACAACAGCAGCCGCAGAGGAAGAAGCAACAAGGGCAACAACTGAGAAGTCATTGTGGGCACGAGACTCCACTCGTGGCTGCACACACGGGACCACTCATTTCACCTTCTTCCCACGCCCCACCCACGCCCACGTGGTCAGGCACATTCCAGTGGTCAGCGACGATGGCGCACCTGCAGGGCGTCCTTGATGCAGAAGAGCAAGTCGCCCAGCGCGGCGCACGGGGACAGCAGCGACGTCGCCAGCGACCGATGCACTATGGGCTGCCACTGCCGCGCACGCGGGCTGTACACCGCGCCCCACTGCATCACATGCAGAGAGACGGGCAAGGGGGGTGAGGAGGGAGGACAAGCCATGAGGGGCTTTGCAGCGGCAACAAAGAGAACGAGCAGTAGCAGCATGGTGGGACGTATTGAGAAGCAACTGAGCTGCTCATACCCCGTCCCCCTCTGACCTGCCCCTCATCAGTGAAGTTGCCGCTGACGAGGAAGCGGCCTGAGAGGGTGACACCTGAGGAGAACAGCATGGGCTGTGGCATGGGTGGCAGAGCCACCCACTCGTCGCGCTGCACGTCGTACTGCTCCGTTGCCACCAGCAGCTCGCTCGGGTGCAGGCGCGGACGAACCATGCCGCCCGCCACGAGGATCACACCGTCATCGCCGCAGTCGCTGGCAGTGATGGTTGTGCTGCTTCTGGTTCTGCTTCTGGGGGTGCTGGCTGCACTGTCCATGTCAGCTTCACAAGATCTTGCCATACCTTCTCCTCCTCCACATTTTCCTCCTTCCCCACCTCCCCCTCCCCCCTCGCCCTGTCCTGTACCGTCCTCCCCATCAGCGACCTGGGCGCGCGGCAGGGTGCCGGACGCCATGTAGCAGCGTGCGATGCCCATGTCGGCGCGGCGCTGCCAGCGGTGCGTGCAGGGGTCGTAGCACCACGTGCAATGCAGCGCCGGCCCACCCTCGCGCCACCCGCCAAACACGTACAGCTTGCCACCCACTGCTGCTGACCCCAGCCCTCGCACCTGGCGTGGGGGCGATGTGACGAGACAGGGCAACGCGGGTGTGCAGAGGAGAAGGGGACAGAACTGGACCGGGTGGCCAGCGCGCGAACACGAGTGGTTGTTTACACGAGGGTTTTGGAGCGGCAAGGAGGGGCATAGAGTGCATGGATGGAAGAGGGGTATGCCGGGGAGCTGGTTGGCGTTGCTGGCATCACCGCGGTGCAGCAAGGGAACAGGTGAGCGGGAGCAGGGCCGCAAGTGGAAAGGGGAGCGGGTAGCGGAATGAGCAGTGCGAGCGAGGGGATGGGTGGGTGGGAGAAGAGGAGAGGCTATGCTGTGTGGGGTGGCTGCATGGGCGAGCAAGGGCGGCAGCACCTCCCACTCCCACCCCAGCCCAACCGAGCAACTCCGTGCTCTCCAATTGCACTGCTCCCCCACGTTCCTGTCCCCCTTGCCCTGCTTCTTCCCCCGCCCCCCATTGCCCTCCGCCCCTCCATGCGCGCACCTGCATGGCATTCTCTGTGGCGCTCGCACTCTCCCCCGGGAGCAGCAGCGGCGGCAGGGGCGGCAGCGCGTGCCATGTGCGCGTGGTGGTGTCGAACGCGCGCCAGTAGTTGCGGTAACCGCCGTCGCGCGTGCGCACGTACACCCACGCCTCCGCCACGCCGCACTGCCGCCGCCGCCGGCACAGTTCCCCCGAGTCCAGCAGCTGCGCCCACGGGCGGCACACCAGGCGGAGAGCCTTGCGTGGGGGAAGACGCGGAGAGGGGAGGGGGGGGGGGGGGGGGGGGGGAGGGGGGTGGGAGGGACAGCGGAGAAAGGTTGTGGGGAGAGGGAAGGGGTGCAGAGTGGGCGAGGAAGCAGCCGGCCGGTGCCCATATAATATGCGCGTTAGATGGGTACAACAACGAGAAGAGCGAAACCTGGAGATTCGTGTTTTGATGAGGTTACAGATGGTTACTCTGTGGTAGGCACGCGGCACGCGGATGAGGCACATGATGGCTAGATCGTCTAGTAGGCCTGGAATCAACGGCTGAGATACATCCTCGTCTGTTTCCATCTGTTCCGCCATAAAATTTCGAGAAAATGGCTTGTGCACACGTGGGATTTTAGGCGCAGGCGATGATGAAAGCTACAACTGCTGGACGCGAAGTGGGACCGAGGCTAGACGGGAGAAGAGTTGGTGGGTGAAGGGACTCCTAAATGGAGTGCCTTTGCTTTGGCGAGTATAAAGTAAGGGCATGTAACCTTTTTGCACATGGTCAATTTCGTTGGCCCAAATTGCACAAGTTTTGGCAAGTGTCAATTTGCACATACCGTCATACCCAGGATATACCCCCATGGGGGGCACTAATAAAACATGTTTTTTTTAGGGGGTGGGCTTATAATATAGTAAAATTATAAGCGCCGGCGTTTATATTATGTCAAAAATGAAAATTGTTTTTAAATATACCAAATCGAAGCATTCTCAAAGGCGGATTCACCTGAGTCGAGTACGTTCGACTCTGTGCATGCTTTGCGCGTGAAACGGCCAACAAGGCGTGGCATCACGCCTTCCACGCCTTGTTGGCCAGGCCAGGTTCATCGAA